CATAATAATGAATCAGATACAAACAGTGCCCCATTTATTCTAAGTCAAATCAAATAGAAAATGGCTATTTACATTTCTAGATTAAATCCCAAGTGAATGCTGATATGCAAATGATGGAAAACAGGCACTATAAAATGACAAATATGGACCCCACACCAGGAGCACGTGCCTGTAAATCCAGCACCCTGGAGGCTGAGGCAAGAGCACTGCAAATTCAAGCCCAACTTGGGTAACCTGCCTAGATCCTGCCTCAAAATAGAAAACTAAAAATGGGCTGGGGATGCGTTAACCCTGGGTTCACTCCCCAGTGCTGTCCAAAAAAAATCAATCATAACTTGGGTGCTATAAAGTTGCTTGGTTGCAACTCCATTTTGAAGGGCATCTAGGATGTCACAGGAAAACTGGGGGTGGGGGCAATTCCAGAGCAGCAGGCACAGCACAATGTGTGGGCGCGTACCAGGCGATAGCCTCCAGGCGGCTTCCAGCTAAGGCTAAGAGAATCCAGCACTCAGCTTTACGCAGCACTGAGACTGCACTCCATACGCTGCCTCTTCCCAGAGCGAAACCAGTCTTCAGGTGCTGGCTCTAATTAAAGATCCTCTCATCAGTAACACCTTGGCCCGTACTTAACAATGCACTTAAATGAGATACCATTAATTGTTGGTCACTAGAAAACAGATGAGATTATGTGAAAAATAACGATCTCTACAGAGAAGCTCACTTTTACTGCCAAGATACTGTCATGGGGAGTCCTGTGTTATCACACAAAAAGCTTTGTTAATAATCCCCCCAATAAAGTTTGTTTTTTCTAGTGTGTTTCTGTCCTTATTTATAAGTATTTTACAAATTTTAATTCATCTTTTTCCCAGTTTTTTTAATCAATCACCTTTGTCCAAAAAAAAGTCAATCCCCAACTGCTATTTTCACATGTGAGATTTTATAAAACTAGTCTTCTGTTCCTTTCTGTATTAATTTTTCATATTAATACATGATTGGTGCACTATTTCATAAGGGATAGAGTAAGAGAAGATGACTACAGGGCCAGAGATTCAGCTCAGTGGTACTCGCACCTGCCTGGCAAGCGCAAGGTCCTGAGTTCTATCCCTGGTACCAGAAAAAAAGTGTGGGGAGAGAGAGAGAGGGGAGGGAGAGGGGAGGGGGAGGGGAGAGGATGACTACTTAAATTAGAAAATCTTTTCTAAATGTGCGAGCGAGAGCAAGAACAACACAAATCACTTTGGCACTATTACATAGAGCGAAAACATTTTTTTCCTTTTCCAGATTACTCAGATTCAAAAACTTTTTATCTCTACTGATAATAAGGAAACCAAATACAGTTATTCTGTAAGTCCTCAATTAATAGCTACTTCCAAAAATCACTTTATATTGTAACCGTATATGGGTTTTAAAAAACACACACACAAAAAAACCTTTAGCTAGAGAAAACAGGGCAAAGGAAAAATGTATTATGGGAGTTAAAAGAATTACATTAAAATTTATACTCAATTTTAGTTTCTATTTTAAAATTTTCATTAGCAATTTATTAAGTGGTAGAAATTATAACAATGTTTTGATGTTGATCATTCCAAACCAGTTGTGAGAAAACATGAGGCTAGATGTTTAGCACTGGACCTGTTATGTCACTGAAGTAAAGCCGAAGTCAAATGAAAAGTAAAACCCTATGCCTCCTGACTCACCTGTGACGCATTTGTAGAACCCTGCTTTGTACCGCTCTCGGTGAAGAGTGCAAGGGAAGGAAACCTTTCTCTCTACCCATGAGGGTTCAGTAATTGAGTCTGTGCAATAAACCATAACGGGCAGAATAACAGGCTGAAAATATACAAATTAGCTATGTGGACAGAAAGAACAGGTAATGTCTGACTTCAGGGAGATGTAGAAACATAGACCCCTTCCTCACAGGGATAGGAAATGATTCTGGGAGTGAGAGACAGTCCAGGACAGCATCTCTGGGGGTAGAGTAGCCACCAGCCCCTCCTGTAACCCAAGACGAGGAACAGGCTCCTGAAAGTACACGAGCACAGCAAAGCAGAAAAAGGAGCCAAGAACACCCACCCTGCATCTGCTGCTCCCCAACTCAGTATATTTTGAGGTGGTGTTTCCTGAATTCCTTCAAGTGCAACAGGTAACATAAAATATTTAAGACAAACCTTGTTTTTGAGGAACTTATCTTAAGAAATTAATAGAGTAAATTGATAAAAATGCTGGTGGTCAGTATGAACAGAATGTCTTACAAAAGAGAAGAGAGAAACCCGATTCCACACTGACCCCAAGGCCATAGCAACTGTCACAGGGACCTCTAACGTATGAGACTGTGGAGGCCTTTTAGTTTTTTGTACTTGTTTATGATTTAGGTTTTTACAAGCACTATTAAGAAAAAACAAAATAATAATCTATGAATAAACCCTGTAAGGGAACAAATGAGTAGAAAATATTTGTTGATTTAGGGTATTGGTGGTTCACAGGTGCATTTCAGTCTGTTTTCAAGTTATTGTGTTCTAATACAATTTTAACAACAGATTTAACTCAACAGTAAAATAAGTAGATGGCAAATTTGATTTCTTTGATTTGAATAATCTGCTTTAATATGTATTTGCAGTTGAAGCCTCACTGCCATTTTTATGTCTAGCTGAAGAGTGAGGCTATGAAAATAATTAAGGAGCATCCTCTATTTCTGTTTGTAATTTGCCGTTTCATTTTTGTGGTACTAGGAATTGAATTCAAAGTCTTAGCACTGAACTACATCCCCAGTCTTCAAAAAAATTATTATTATTCTTACTATTATGTTTTAATTGTGAGAAAAGATCTCACGAAGTCACTAAGTTGCCCAGGCTGGGCTGGAACTTGCAATCCTCCTCTATCAGCCTTCCAGGGTGCTGGGATTGTAGGTGCACACCACCACGTCAGGCTCTGTAATATGCTTTTTAAAATTCTCGTAGGATACCCAGTCTAGATGGGAAATGGCAGAATAAACTCTACCATCTACATGTAATGACCCATTTCATTACCATCTGTTCTCAAGGCACTGTTCTTCATCACTGAAATGGAATTGGTCATTTGTCAAATCTCCCAATCTTTCCTCTATCATGTTAATTAATATACTGCCCTGAAACAAACAGAAACAAAACTAAAACCACCTCTGTCTGTGTTCCAGCCATGACCTTCCCGTTCTAAGAAGGGAAGCCTGGAAATGGACTTGACTTCAGCAGGGCCTGGGTGCACCACAGACGGTTTCTCAAATTCTGTAATCGTGTTTTCAGCGTCACTCTAGGCTGAATCTTTTCATAAACGGCAAAGTGTTAGGAACCTGACTGCCATTACGGGCCACGTTTCCGAGTTCTTCATGCCTCCATGCCACTATCTTAAATTTCCTTTTCCCAAGGCCACTATAGTTTAGAAAAATGAAACTTGGCTTCTGTAAGGCTAAGTCCTTAAAAGGCAACCTGGCCTGCCATAGGTTAAAAGTAGCCCGCCTGCTCACAGATATGCAATAGCCCAGCCCAAACCCAAGGACCATCTTTTCTTTGTTCTCCCTCCCTCCCTCCCTCTCTCTCTCCCTCTCTCTGATCTGCCCTCCTGAATAAAGTCTCCCAAACAAAGTCTCTGTAGGACCTCTAGGTGTGTGGCCTTGTTGTTGAGCTTCGCTGTTCCTCTTCACAAAGACTGGTATCTCTGTAGCTTTTCTTATTTAATACAACTCAATTGTCTCTTTAAGTGAAAAAATTCAAATGTGACAAGAAATTTCCTGTTAATGAAGGCTGGCATCTTCTGGCCACGAACAAAGGGTGCCTGGTACTTGTTAACTCCATTTAAAGCTCAAATTATTTTGTAAAGTTAATTGTGAGTATCCAGGTCTCCTTTAAGCACTCAGTCTGTAAGATAATGGGGAGCACAGGGATGGGGAAGGCTCCAGAGCCAGTCCCACTCCCAGGCTCGTGATGAGTAACTGAAACCAAGAACATCCTCATCAGTCATTTTAGTTTTACCTAAGGCCAGATTCAAAATTTCATTTTCATGACAGTGCTGGTTTAGATCTGAGACTTTCTTAAATTTTCTTATAATAACATTTAAATACCTCTAACTTCTGAAGTCATGCTCATCAGAGCCTGAATAATAATACTGTAAGGTGAAGAACCTGGTCCAGGATGCTGAGCCAGAGAGAAATGCAGACCCTGCACCCGTACGGTACTCCAGTACCAGGCAGACCCACAGCCAAGCATGGGTCGGGTCTCTCCATCCAGGGCAGGGCTGCACATCCCAAGGAGTGCAGTGTGGCCAGGAACACATGGGGCTGCACCATAAACAGCTTCCCAGTGGGGCCACACAGGTTTAAAGAGGCTTCAGATGCCACAGCCCTGCAAGGCAGCTTCCAAACTTTGGACAGAATTATTCTACTTTATTTGGGGAAAAAATAGTAACTTTATTCTTGTTTATATCCAAAAATTTAAGTGTTTTGTTTTGTTTTTGATGGTATCGGGAACTACACTGAACTATATTCGGGCTGTTATTATTTTTTTGTTAATTTTGAGAAAGAGTCTAGATAATTCCCCAGCTGGGCTCAAACTCATGATCCTTCTGCCTCAGCCTCTCAGAGTGCTGGGATTACAGCCATGCATTACCACAGCTGGCCCTAAAAATTTAAGTTAAATGCTATTTTCATGAAGCTCTTAGAAATTATCACGAAGAAAAATACTTTCATAAATAAGAAAGAAACTCTTCTGTTTGTTTCTCTAGCAGTTCAAATTGGCCCTTCAATTATTATTTCAACAAATAAACAGCACACCACCCTGAAATACCAAATTCTAGTGGTGGGCTTGCAGAGGGGAGTTCGTTACAGAGATCATCCCAAGAGCCAAGCCAAAGGGTAAACTGCCAACGGCAAATTAGATTAGCCTCCAATTAATTATAATTTCACCTGTATCTTTATGGACTTGAAGGCAAAACTCAACAACAAACCGTAAGATGAAATGATGTGGACCAACCTTTTATTGCACCCACAATATTCTGGTCTAGTCCTTTCCGGTTGTCATTCAGTCCTCTTTTCCTCTTCCCATTGGGTAAGGAATTAGCCAAAGTCTTGTCATCAAAAAACGCACACACCAGTTTTCTAAACAGAAGGCTTCCTGAGCGAGTATAGTTTGACAGTATAGAGTCCAGCTGAGATTTAGGCATAAACACGTCAAAGCCTTCAGCAAGTTGCACTTCTGGCTACCGAAAAAACAGAAATATTTTATTAAAAGCAAGATCGGAGGCATGTGACTTTGCGCATCAGTACAACAAAAACAATTGCTACCGGAACATCCACATTATACAGATATAGTACAAACTCAGTTTTGTGTGCCACGGTTTGCAATTTATAAAACTAATGACAGTTTTAATTCATAAAACACAATGTTTTCACTCCAATATTAAGTCTCATCAAAAGCAACAGAGGAGTTCTCTGTAAAACTACTTCTGTTCTTACAAACAGTTAAGGAACGTCAGGTGTCACAGAATCGTGTAACTCTAGAGCTCAGGGATTCAGCCTTCTATAACAAATATTCTCTTTCTAAAGGAAGAAGCTAAGACCCAAAGAGATCACAACAAAAATGACTGGCAAAGAACTCAGTGCATTACTGCTTACAGATCACTGTCTCACACATCAAAGAATTTAACTTCTTTCACATGAAGTCCCAAATGTGGGGCTAGCCCACAGGTCTTCTGCTGTTTCTAGTATGCCAGCAGTCATTCTATGGAACTATTTTTCCCACAATGGAAACTTAAATAATTCCTTGTAGAAAATACATAAAAATGATGATCGTTCCCCAGGGAGTTTCAATCCACTCCTCGCTCCTATTCTTGGGAAGAAACACTTAAGCTATGTCCCTGAGCACCCTGGAAAACCAGTGCACTAGCCACACAGCATCAAAAGATTCCCAGCAGAGATATGGGGCCTGGAGACCTACAGGTGGCTTCCAACTTGGACACCATCATACAGGGACATGAGCCCAGACAGACAATGCATTTTCTACCAGCATACACGGATGTTCACAGCCAGCCTTTTCTTCTTGGGACCAGCTCACACCACCGCCTGTGCAAAGCCTTTCCCAACCCTTCCTGCCACAGAGGCAACCATGTGCACTTGGCTACTGTTGTACGTCTGACTTAGTAAGCACTCACCTGTATTTATTACACTGTACAGAGCATGTCTTGTATCTGTAGAGTTTGGCATACAATAGACACTGAATAAATTTTTACAAAGTAAATAAAATTTTCTTAGTCCTAATCTAAACTACTAAGTCATTTACTATTGGTTATACCATGATAACTTTACTAGGAAGAAATGTAATTGGTAACTTTTATTAGAAAAAAAGTCAGAATGCTTCACTTTCACAAACTGTGTATACTATCAAAGCTCTTTCTTAGACGGTACATTTGCCATTTTACAAACATGGCATCACTTTAGATTTTCTAAATCACATCAGAATGTGAGGATTGGGATTAATTTCTCTTCTGGAGAATAAGAATGAGCGCTTTTGTTTATCCTGGTACTTTCTAAATTCCCAGCATACTATAATCCAAGTGGAGAGCCCAGAGCATAAGCCAGACCAGTGAAGGCGAATCTCTCAGAGCTTCCAATGATGCAAACGGCCTGCTGTGGCGCACGCCACAGGTTCCCGCAGTGGCCCCACACTATCTGGATGGCTTAGGAAGATGTCTGGGCCCTGCCCCTGCAAAATGCAGTTCTGACTGGATCATCCAGAAGTCGTCCCATTCCTCGGCTTCACTCTGCCATTCAATATTTGGTTTCTAAATGCTTGGTAAATATCACTGGAAAAACTGCTGTCAGATCTCCCCCCAGCTTCTGCATCTTGCTTGTTGGTCAAAGGTCCAGAAGAGCTGACTGGAGCCGGGAGCTGAATACCTAATTCCCAGAACAAGGCTGGCACATACCAGGCATTCAAGAAATATTTGTTGAATGATTCAATGTGGAAATATTACAACTGAATCTTATGATCGCAATCTAAAGATGAAGTTTCATTTATAAACATTTTAATTGTGTATGTTCTATTAACTTTTATTCTAAATGAAATGATCTCAGATGTTTGCTAAGTGTTCTTCTATCATTTGAAAGGCATTAAAAAAATCCAAGCATATCTCACAGCTATTTGAAGGACTTAGATGGTAAAGAGCTCTTGAAATGCAAAGAGGAGAGGAAAGGCTCTAACTTGCCTCACTCCTGTAATCTTGCTTGATTCTCGGACACCACTAAACAGGTACCTAAAGCTCAGCCACTGACTTCTGAGGCTCCCAGAACCTTCCTTTCCATCCATCCTCCGGGTCTTGGACCCTAACCTGAGAAACACTGACCTAAACGAGCCACCAGGCAGGACTACCCACGCCCTTCTTCATGAACTCAGGGTTTTGTGAGAAGCAGGTTCATGCGGCTTTTCACACTGCATTTACTCAGTAGGAGTTGGTGCTTCTCATCAGGATGAGCCCTCTGCATTCGGCGCACCAAGTGCCCGGTGAACTCATTCCGGGTGACACGGGTGGATTCACAGCTCTCCTGTCCCTACTACGAGCAGGGGGCATGCAAGTCTGTTGTGCCCTGGCTGAGCGCTGCAATGTCTACCTAGAACACTTCATGTGCTGCTCCAGGAGGGAACCACCCGACTCGCGGCTACATGCTGCACACCTCCTGTCAGTGACTCACGGCTGGCCCTGCCGCTGAGACACCTGTCACAGGAAGACGTGACGAGCTCCACAGACAGGTGCGGAGCAGGTGTTGCCACTGCTGCCCGAGGCGGGATGGGGCTGCACACCTGACAGGGCCTTGAAGGTCAGACTGAGGAGTCAGCAGGACAGCAGCTGTTTGTGGCATCTCTGCGCCTCCTAACACTCTCTGGAGGTTTCTGTGGAGCGAAGACTTCCTATTGTATCGCAACAGTGAAGTGTCTTTGAGGTGCTGCCCAGGGCGGAAGCTGTGGCCGCTTTCTGTTCCACTTTCTACCGCAGGCAAACACTGCTATTCTGAACCAAGGGACACGAGCTCAACAGCTCACAGATACCTCACAAAGGAGGGAGCAGTTTGGGGAGAGTGACTGCCAGCAGCAGCCAGGGCAAAGGTAGCCAAGCCCTGCCCCTCCTGCCCTGCCTGGCTGCCCTCCTGTTCAGATTTCTCAGCAGACAGGGCCTGAGTGCCAAGGCAGTCTACCATGTGCCACAAAGCAGCAATTCCTTAAAAAACCGGGTGGGAGCTTTATTTTCTGAATCAGGAAAAGAGATAATTAACCTCCAATTTCCACTATAAAATTTTATTTTTCTCCATGTTATATAAATAATCATAGCCCATTGCTCCCAAACAATCATTCACAACTTTGTACACAGATTTAAAAACAAGTTAAAACTCTTTAAATGTATACTTCTTTGTTTGCTGGCTGTAAATGAGATCTCTCTGCATACTAGTAATAGTTACTGCTTAACAAAGACCATTCAAGCCAATACCATTCACAAAACTAGACTTTCCCTGATGGATTCACTAGTTAATACTCAAGCCAAGACTAATACAGTCATAGCTGATACATTCATTTGCAGAGTTTATCTGCAAATCTTTTAACAATGACATCCAAATTACAGGGCACAATTTACAACCGTTATGATCATCATTTTAAGGGTTCAGTGTCTGAATTCCCACCAGGCATATAGTTCCATGCATGTCTTGGCTGTTTTGGGTACAGCTGTGTATCAAGTCCTGACTTCCCTTACCCAGCCCTACCACATCTTACACGGCCGGTTCAGTAGTCAAGGGCCGTGTATAGTCCTTATGGCTCGCAAAAATATCCCTCCATCCATGCCTGCTCACATGAATTACATTGTTTCTTTGTATTTCAGCTGTGGTCTCCCTTCATCTAAAAGCAGTTAGGTTAAAACCTACTTTGGGGGAGGGATCCTCCAACCAGGTAAGTAAAAGGACTCCGAGCCCAAGTCCTGAGTATATCATGCGACTCCCCTATGTAATCCAAACAAACAAATAAAGCAAGACATTTTACAATCATACAAATTAGTCACATGGGGAACATTTCCAGCAAAGGCTATTTTATATATACACCAAATTATAGTAAAATATCTAAAAGGCTACAGGGTGAAAGAGTAAGCAAAGTGCAGAAATACACAGATTGAACACTTGCCCCAGAGTTTTCAACTATGAATCAATGAATTATTCACATAGATTTCAAATTCTGTGTCATGTAACATGCACTCTTAGAGGCACCTCCAGAGTTATCTGTACGAGACTACATGGTAGTGAGGGTTAAAAAGGCCTGGCCAGCTCATTAAGGCTCAGACAGGCTCAGACTGAGAGCTGAAAAAGACTATGGAGGAAGTGCTGGACTGTGAACGGTGCACTGATTTTCTATTTGAAATATGTCCCTGGGTAAGTAAGAGTATCTAAAGGACACGAATTCATACCATACATGGTAATTCTTGATGCTCACTATTTCTTTAAAAGTGTACTGGATTTTTTAAAAAAAACATTATTTCATTTTGTGTGTGTTATCTGCTTCTGTTTGATTAAAATTAAAATTATTTCTTATAAATCAGGCCTGCTCCAGGTAGAGGTATTGTTACCATTTATCAGATGCTCAAAGAAAACATGGCCCAGGAACACCTGAGGCGGGAAGGCGGGCCCACGCGGCTGGCCTGGCCTGGCCTGGCCTGGCCATGTGGCTGTTACCGCTGCACAGCTTGAGCACAGCAGGCATGCCTGGGGCTGCAGCACGTAGGTCTTGCTTAGCCAGCAGTTCTGGGAAGAAGGGCCAGCAGTATGTGAGCATATATTTAATGTCGGACAGGATAAAACTTAAGAAATCATCAAAAAACCAATTCTTTACATACTTCTTACTTGATAAAACTAAGAATTTAATTTTAGAAAAGATAATATAATTTGGTCCCTTGAAAGTTCCTTCATGCTCTTGCATAATGAGAAATTCTAAAGTCTTTCAGAAATGTGTTTAGCCTTTTCCTTCTGAAGTAATAAATTAACGAGTCTGAGGACCAGGGCTTGATTTATGTTGAAGATATTTGAGCCAAACGGGTAATACGTAGTATTTCAACACCATGATCCAGCTTCTTCCCTCCTAACACCACCAGAACTGCTCCTCCCAGAGACCCTGAGTCTGTCTGTGACCCTGCAGGCAGTGAGATCCTGCTCTTCCTGTCCTAGGAGACATCCAGTTGCCCCTACTAGAGCTTCCTCCTGGAATGCTGTGATTCCTGCTTGTGATTTCCCTCCATGTGTTCCTTGAAAGGCAAAGACTATTTCATTCACGTCAGCACACTCTGGAAAAGTGATATAATTTGCTACTTTCTATATTCTAGACACAATACGTTTTCTAATTTAATTCTTACCCTATGAAGCAGCTACTATCATTATACTCACTTGCACATGCAAAAATCAAGGCTCACAGAAATGAAGTAATTTGTTTAAGATCATCAAACTAGCATGCAATGAAGCAGCCTGCACTAGCAACTTACTCTGAACACATGTACTGCCTCAGCTTAAACGTACTCACCAATAAATGAAAAACTGCTGATTTGATGTACCTTATTAGATCTTAGCACAGCATTTATCTATGGAGCTAAGAAGATATTAAGAAAACAGATTCTACAGGGCTGGAGATTTAGCTCAGTGGTTCCGCCACCTCCCTCCCAAGTGCAAGGTCCCGAGTTCGATCCCCTGTACCAAAAAAAAACCAAACCAAAACAAACAAAAAAAAGATTCTGAATTCAGATGCTATTTTTGTTGAAAGCATCAAAGTATTTTAAATTATTTTAAGAAGAGTGACACAAAATATACATTAACAGTTACCTTAAACTGATGAAAATTCATAAATGAAACTGATAAATATCCACAGATTTATCTTCTGATAACTTACAATTGTATAATCCAGGATTACTGGAGAATATTCATAGTAATTACAACAAATAGAAAAACACTTTCTACTATTCTACTTAGGAAGCTGAGGCAGAAGATCAAAAGTTTGAGCCCAGCCTGGACAGCTCAGTGACTTAGTGAGACTCTGTCTCAAAATAAAAAATAAACAAAGGGCTTGGAATATAGATCAGAATTTCTTTCAATCCCAGTGTCACAAAAAAATTACAAAAATATTTTGTAAACTCATCTTTTACCAAAGCCAAAGCACCCCAAAGCCAAACAAAAAGCAACAATTAAACTTAGGTCATATATATCTAACCTGAAAATCATAAATCAATCTATCTAGTTCTGAAAAAACAGTGACTGTAACTTATTTGTCTCAGTACTAGTCAAGAATTGGACTGTGAATTCATGAAAAAGAGTTGCACTGTATCCCAATCTGAAATTTGATTTTGGATTTCTACCTTTGCTTCTATGTAAATTAGGTCTGAATTTTACTTAATGTGCTAACTTAAAAAGGGTCAAAGACTCCAAAAAAGAAACATTCCTGCTACTTCCTTTCCAAAAACACTTGTTCACATGCATCTGTTTATTCATGCATACAGATACTTGTACTTAAAAATATTTATGTTTGTTTCCTATAAAGGTGCTCTGGGAGGACTCCAAGGTTAAAAAAAGACCCAACATTTATTAGATGCACAGCACACTGTGCCAGCCTCTCAGGGAGAGCAGCGTGCAGAGAAGGCAGGTCTGCTTCCTCAGGCTCACACAGCCAAGACCTAGCCCAGCAGCCTCACCCTGCATCCTGCACCTTTACTGTTCACTTTGCCCCAAGAAACCTACTCATAAGCGAGTAACATCCAGTCTAAACTTGCCTCTCCTCCATAGTGTCTCCCCACAAGCAGTGCCATGACAAGAACTGTGCCTGAACAGGTCCCCAAGTCCTCCACGCAGTGGATGAGGCAGGGCCTGAGGTGGGGAGCTGCTGTACCTTTTCCAGCCGTGTTTGTGCAGGCTCCTGAACACGTGGGTAACAGGAGCACCTCAAAGAGTAGGGACTGAATGAGATCATTCACTTAGCACGTGAGTATTGTAACTGTTAGAATACAGTCCCTGCTCTTGAAAGGCTGGGGTGGCAGAGCGTGAAGTCATGTAAAACGTACAGAACAGAACAAAAAGTCCTACAAAGGAGGACTGTTCCAAAGAGAGGAAGCCCTGCAGGGGTAGGTGGACACAGCAAGGAGTAACAAGGAAGGAAAATGGGTGGCAATTAAATTGAGGAGGGACTTCAGGTTAAGCTAAGTCTAGACCCAACATTTCATTAGCTTATTCTGTATCTTATGCTTAAGGCAAATGTAGATCATTTGTCACCTGCAGATTAAACATTTGCCGAGCACTTCTGTGTGCCAGGCATCGCCGTGGTGGCTCCGGTGCGCTACGATCCGTCGATGCTCGCCACACTAAGGTGTGGACACTTGCGTTGTCTTTGTTTCCAACCCTGTGTTTTTCTGCCTTTGAGCGGGAAGACTGTCGTCAGTCACAAGGCTCAGGTGACCTGCAATGACCACGGACTCCGCAGGCCCTCATGTTTGCATCTGTGCCACGAATATACTGTACTGGACACAGCTGCTTCTTGTGAACAAGTCAGTGTAAAAATGGTAATGCCATACACTGAATTTTAAAAACTTTATGTGTGAGAAAAGCAATAAAGTGCAGTTGGATCTTCGTGCCTCACTGCTGCCGCACTCGTCCTGCTCTTGTGCCCTAGGTGTCCAGGGAACATGCTGAGACAGCTGTGCCCTCTTCCTCCTGCCCAGGACACAGCAGCGCTCTCCCTAGCTCAGTGGTCCTAGTAGCAGCCAGCACCACCCTAGTTTTCCTGCACAGAAGCCCTGGTTTACTTCCTACTCCGCCTCCACACCCCTCCCGCTTGGCTCTCACTTTCCCTTCTCTCAGCCTCCTCCGCTCCGCCAGACCACCCACCCTGGGGCCTGGCCCACCACACAGCAGGGATTTCCTCCTGACCCCACCGTCTCCTCTCTCCGTCCCTCTGCCATCCACAGCACAGTCCAGGCACCAGTCTAAACAGCAGTCAAGATTCTTCTTCACACTTGTAGCTGCTCCCTCGTGCTTCAATATGGGGCAGAAGGCCGAAGGCCAGGCCTGGTCTACTGGGATTTTCATTTCCTGGCCCCTTTCTCCTTTCATCAAGGCCAGTCAGACAGCTGCGCTAGCGACACTGGACCACTCGGCCAACCCTACGCCTGTGGACTGGACCCTTCCAACACTACGGACTTCTCAGAGCCCATACAGTTCCCATCACCTTTTCTCCAACCTGTTTTACAGGATAACTCTCCTGTGATTACAGGTATTATTTCCTCTGGACTCTGGCTTAAAAATAATTAAAGAACAGAAAGGAGCCTGAGTTTGGGTCCCTTCGCCCGTGGGAGCCACTCCCACTCCAGCACGGGCCCTGGCAGGCCAGCCTCAGCCTGCCCATGGACATGGCCACCACAGCACTGCTGCCCATGAATCTGGGACTCACTGGGCTCAGAAGACAGGTGCAGAATGGGTGGGACACTGAAAGCAGGGAATCTAGACAGAGCTCCGCCTCTCCTTAGAAGCATGTTGCTCTTCAGAGGCAACCAGCACTTCCATTTTCAGGGACAATTCTGAATGCTCAATCAAACTAAATAATTGTGGACAAGAGGTAAGTTGTTTTATCTAATATATAAATAAAATTATAAATTGATACTGTAAGAGTAATTAAAATACTATTCTATTTCATGAATGTGCACAACGCCTTTATTCATCTTCTTCATCTTTTAAGCACAACTGGGGCTTAAAAATTAAAAAACAGAAATTGCAGTTACTAGCATTAGACCAAGTTATGCAACTTAATTTACTGCTACTATTATCAATGCCTAACAGAAAAGAATGTGCAAAAAATTTAAGGAAAATATGAACGTATGATGAAAAGTGCTTAGGAGGACGTGTACTTCCTACAATCATTTATCTGTTCCCAAATACATGACCTACTGGGTTTTGAACTAGGGCCTTAGTTCCAATAACCATATGGTAAAATCAAAGGAGAAGATCAGTTCAGTGTAAAACATCATTATCATTAATAGTATTTTAAATTAAAAATTTAAGAGAATTTCTTAATGATTGTAGCACGTACTTACAGATTTAAAAAATGCCCCTTTAAGACAAAGGAGTGGAAAAAAGTTAAAATTATTTTCTAGTCTAAAAACACCACACGTGGTTATTTTTATTCCCTCCCTTCATTGCAGACCCAACGCAGATATACGCTATCGAACTGTCTTCCTACACTTTTGAAGAGATACTTTTTCTTTTAATAGCAACTTGTTTCTTACTTAAAACTTTAAAAGGTAGGGCCAGACTCCAATCCTATACAGGCCTGTGGGAGTTCTCAGCAGGATCTTCATCCTATGAGATCTGATAATAATAGATCACTCACTCTTGTTTATTTTAAGAACTCTGCCAACAACTTGAGGTTCAAGACATACATATATTTAGGTAAAGATACTGTAATAGAGTATGTGACTGCAAGTAGAGCATATTATGAAAGAAACTGGCTTACGGTCCCATGAACATAAAACAGCAAGTTGGACAGATTATCTCAGATGTAATCCAGCATCGGGCCTGCGACAACACTTGCTATGATATTAAAATAGCAAACCTTTCCCGAGCTTTAACCTATCATTACACCGAGTAAATGGCATGGCACTGCCACCTAATTAGCAGTGTAGCTTGCATCTATAAAATAGAATTAGCGCCACTGCTCCTTTTTTATTATTAGTTTGTTTTTCCAGAAAGGTATGACCTTATCTGTAGGCTTCTGCTCATTTATGCCCATCTACAAAAGATTTAATTATGTTCTTTAGTTTTCTAGGACAAGGAAATTGAAAACTGACAGTTTGAAATTAAAAATGTTAAAGAAATTAGTGAGCAGATTACTTATGCCATCGCCCTTCTTCTTTCAGAGGTAAAGAAGGGAAACATGTTTAAACAAATAAGGCACACAGGCTTCCAGAAAGAAAATTCGAGGCAAAGAAATTATTACTGATCTTGTTTTCCTCTTTCCTGCAGGTATTTTCCAAGTTCTAGTTGTTTCAGGCAGAACTAGTGAAGAGAAACTGTACTAACACTATAAACTGAAAGTTGTATCAAGTAGAGTCAGCAGCCAGAAGACACCAACTTACGTCTGAGGAAGGCGATTCGATAACAATACCGAATCCCAGGACGCGGTTCTGCTCGCTGTAGGAGCGCTCAGTGGCGGCTTGCACGGAGGACTGCTCCGGGGCCCCTGCTGCTGGCTTCTTCTCCATTTCTGCCACACCAGACTTCTGCTTCACAGTAACAGGTTCTGCAGGCTTTGGGGGCACTTTTTTCTTTTTATTTCTCTTGCGTGAGACAGCAGTTCGCTGGGAGCATATAAGGGAAATTGGGGGTTGTTGTCTGTTTTGAGTTCCAACTGTGAACAATAAACACAAATATGGTACAGGCACTTTGTGTCTAACTGAGGACAACTTACCCCAGGTCCAGCTTTGTCATCTGCAAAATGATACCGAAGTGAAGCTCCCTCAAGGAAAAAGCTCATCAAAACAATCTCACTCTGCACTAGATGCAGACTGGAGCACCTGAAGCCCTAAGGGCAGGGAACCACCCAGGGGAAACCTGCTCCTACACCAGTGGCTCCCTCAGTGAAATGCTACTGCTGGCTTTGATGGGAGGAAAAGATCAAGAGCCATGAGAAAACACTGGATCATGACTTCATGGATCACGTGGCATTTGTAAATAAATGAGAACTCCAGAACTTAAATTCAGGTCCAGCTCCATGCTTTCTGGTAAGCCCATTTCAGGAATGTTCCAACTGTCATTTTGTGTTAGCTGATCATTGCTAAGGATCTACAGATACCATGATGGTCAAAGATGAAACAATGATGATCGTGTGGGCAAGCCTGATCAGAAGACACGGTTTGGGAGCATTCTGTGCAGAAAATGCCTGTTCATCACTTCATCAGGCCCAGTGGCTCCTTCATCAAATACTCCATGCACAGCCACCCTCTCCAGGGCAGTGTTCAGGGTATTAGACCAGGCTGCTTCTCTAGACCTGTTTTATGCAGCAGAAAAGTTAGAATATAGCGGTGTATACAAGTTAAGCAAATCAGTAAAATCTAGAAGCAGCCTGAGTTCCAAAGATGAAAAGCACAGCCAAGGACTAAGTACGCACAGTAAACACATACTTAAAGACTCCAGGATGGTAAGTGCAGTTTTCACACATGCAGTCTGAGAAACAAGGTTCGCTAACCATTTGAAAACATTCCAATGGAACACGAAGCAGGAAAGTATGGCCTGAATTTGCATTGAATTCCCATGTACTACTACGGTTCCCTAAACACGTATGATCACAGGATATGCCTGATTTGACAGAAAGAAACCTATGAATGCGAGCCAAGAGAAACACATGGCATTCAAATTCTCATGCACATGGATCACTACCTTCCTTTTACTTATTTCGGTCTGAAAATAAAGAATATTTACACTTTGATCCTGATAATTTCATCTCTAGGCAGGAAGGAAATTTAGAAGTATTGGACATAAGCTGCCTAAAAAACCAAAGTTGTTTAAACAATCATTCATGCAGTAATTTGCCTCACTGGTGCTCTACTTTTTAGCCGCAAATGAATACCAACATTTTCTTAAACCAACCCCAGTGCCTCATCCCCAAGCCTGACCAAGTGGCTGGGAATGTAGAGGGCAGGGCCCAGGCACCAGTGTTCTGCAGAAGCTCCTCCAGGGACTCAAGTGCACAGCCAGGGTTGAGAGCCTCTCTCTGTTCTGTCCACTTTGACTCCAGGTCAGGACTGTTCTGTCTCCACCGTCAAAGGGAGCAGCGATGCAATGATCAAGACTGGCAGGGCTGCAGCCTCTCTGACTTCATCACATCCAAGTAAAAGTAAGAATATCTCTGACTCGGAGAACACAGGGGCTCTGACTTTTGCTTTTTCTTTTGAAAACCTAGATACAGCTCAAGTTTCCGGATCCAGACCTTAGTGCTTGACCTTACTCCTTGTCTTGCCCCTAAAATAAAGGTTAAACTTTCAAAATATAATTTAATCCAAGTCTTACTAGTAATGAAACTTAAATAAATCTACCCCACACAAGTTTTTCTCAGTTTAAGAAAATTAAAGGAGTTCATCCTTTATGCTATCCATAGCTTTGGAATCATTTACTGCTGTAATTTAAAACATTCAGAAAGGAATACATGGTGACAAAGTGGCATTTACTTAATAGATTCTAAAAAGGTTTCAGTCAAGGATTTAAATGGTTGCAATTTGTGCTTTGCCATTTCAGTAGTAAGGAGCTTAAGTAGAAAAATAAATCATTACAATTTCACATGCATATTTTCTTAAGTACAACAAATTCTCCCTCTGAGAAAAGAATCTGTACATAACAAAGTAACCTTTCTTTCTGAGGCCCTTCTTTAAGAGATGCTAACCTTTGCCAGGCTAATAAGAGCGCGGCCTATTGTGGTGGAGCAAGGTGAATCAAATGCTTACTGACCTGGGCACAATGCTGGTTTTTGCCTTGGGATAAGACCAAACTTAATACTTTAAAACATTCTGCTTTTCAGCAAGCCTTTAGCTCACCTTACTTTAATGTGATCTTGAGTGACTGATATGGCTAAATGTTAAGCTTTTTATATCAAAATCATATCACTGAGTATTAGGATTTTACTAGAATTCACTCAATGGCACCAAGAGCAGCTCGTGAGTGATGAGCTTCCCGAAGACCAGATGATGAAAGGGCAGGCAGGCAGGCAGGCACGATGGACCTATGCTACCTATTCTTCTGCTTTCCCCCGAGGAACAGCAAGCAGTCTCCCCTGACAAGGAAGGCTTAATAAGATGACTTATTATTTCTTGTACCTGTGGCAAAAAAAAGTTTGTTTTACCTCCTAATTGTGGAGATAAGACAATGAGCTGCTGAATGAACATCTTGACCTGCAGACTTTCAGAAAACACTGCAAGGTCTTTAAAACAACGCTAATGAGATAGCTTCTGCTGGCATCTCACCTCAGAAAGTTATTTGTGTTTGCTATCTCATTTTGATTTGAAAACAATCCTGTTAGATATTTACAGGTGAAACCTGGAAGCTCAGGAGAAATGGGATGTCCATCGCCAACTTCAAATCCTTTCTCTGTTTTTCACCTTGTCCAGCTGAGTAGGAACAAAACCTTCAGTCATGTAAATGCAAGGGACAGACGTGAGGCGCCTCTGAGCTTCTCCACGATGTGGGTCTGAGGGAGAAGCCAGAAGTGGAACCCAGGCCTAACACTTCCTGGTGGCACACATCCATGAACATCTTCCACAGGGAGCGCACACTTCCTAAGTGTGCCAGGATTTAATGGACTAGCATTTGTGAAGTACAGGGAGGTCATGATATGAAGGATATTGACTACATGTTTATAAGTATGCAAGTAGTATTAGGAGCAATCAAAATTGTCTTGATTTGCTAAGGAAAATACCCCACAGGGTCACTGAAAAAGCAGAGCCAATAGATTCATGAAAAAGGCAAAGCAAGGTAGCAAGGTCGGAAGGATTCTGTAACAAAAGCATAATGAAGATCTCAACTGAAGACACCACAAACATGGTAACAATAAGGGCCCCTCAGAGAGGCTGGTCTGTGTACCTGCTTGGATCTGCATTAATTTCCGCATGGTCTTGAGCTCTTGGAGAATGGCCTGCAACGTTGACTGGCAGTTACAAGTACAGCAGTTTGATCCAACTGACGAATTTGCCATTGGAAATTCTCCTGAGCATGAGAGAAAAGAATGACATGCGCCTAAGAAACAAAAAAAATTATAGAGAGGAGGGAAGATTCGTTGGCAGGATTTTCAGTTGTGTGCAATTAGTATGAAACTGTGTCCTAGGAAAACATACTCAATAATTTTCACCTGGAGTTTTGGGGCCTGACTCTATCGGATTTTCCAGACTGCTGAGCTGAGGTTTAGACTATGTCAAAGGAGAACACATGCAGGCCTCCTGCTGTCAGACCAGTTATCTCAGAAAACAACACCCAAAAAAGTCACCACAAACACACTCAAGCTAGTTTGTACAAAACAAAACAAAACACTTCACCACCTCCATCTCTGATACCAGACTTTCAAATCAACTGGTAGCTGTGTATTGTTATCAGAGTTCATATTAAGAATTAAGAGAGTTTATTTAACAAGGTTTTAATAGGAAGCATGTATTTCAAAAGAGAAGACCTGCGGCCACCGGGAAACATGGGGAATTCCCTCTGGCTGGGCTGTGCTGGGTGGGAGAAGGAGGAGAGAAGCTCTTTTGCCTGGCCAGGCCAGAGGGGTTGGTGGATGGCCTTTCCCTGGCTTCATGGAGGAACCCTCCTACATCTTTATTCACTCTTGCCACGCCCCTCACCATACTCTTTATCACTGTGCAAATTCGGTGCACTTCTTGAGTAAAACTCTCTGGTTCTGTGTACCCTACATGCGAACAAGTATGCCCATGCTGTCCTTAGAGTACAGGACAGGGCTCCAACAGCTCGGTCCCCTCCAGTGCCAAGGTTCACATAGTAAGATGGAGCAGTGTGGGACACGGCTGCCACCTGAGTCTTCTGTTAGGTGGGTAAGGTAAGTTCCATGGTTTTGTTCCAATTACACACTCTATTATACTAGATATAATTTAAATCCTGAAATGTGCATATATGTAGATACTAAAGAAAAGTTCACCACCACAAAACTACAAAGTACTTGCAGGCCACCAAACCGCTGAGCTAAATCCCCGGCCCTACAAAATACTTTTAGCACAGTTATTTACATTTAAGATTGTATTGGCTGGAGATTTAGTTCAGTGGCACTGCACTTGCCTCTCAAGCCTCACAAGCAATGTCCTAAGTTTGATCCCCGGTACAAAAAAAAAAAAAAGATTGTACCAAACTTAGCTGTTACAACTTTAAAACTGCAAATAATTCCAGGAAATCTTAAAGGAGTCCCAGCTACATAAAGGTGGTCCTTGGACTCTGTGGAGGTTGGGTTACAAACCTCTGTGCCATTGAAAACCCAGAGAACCAAGCTTATTGTCTGTCAGTACCAAGGACTGAACCCAGGGCTTTTGCACCAAGCCACCCCCTCCCATTTGTTTGTGAGACATTTTCGCTAAATCACCAGCGGGGCGAGAACTTGAGATCCTCCTGCCTTAGCTTCCCAGGCCACTGGGGTCAAAGGCATGCACACCACACTGGCCAAGGACTTCTGACCAGAACTTTTGACCCCCGCAGTGGCAACATGAGATGACTGCGAATTAAACCCCTGTACTGTACGCCAGTTAGCTTCGCGCAGCGACAGTATCAATGCAAGAGTGCATCCCTCCATCTGCTCATATTTCTCTCACCTGAGAATGGTGCCATGCAGTCTATGTGTGTGTGCATGACTTCTGACAAATCTAAAAATTATAAGAGATTTGCATGCTTGTCAGTAAATGATAAAACAGACTATTATCTATAGACATTTTGTGCATTTGTGACTTATAACTTCTTCCCAATTTTCTCCCTATCTCTAGGCTGTGAGGTTCATCTGAATTTTCCTAAATTGTGATAAATCTCCACACAAAAAAAATCCTTCTCTAAGTGGACTTGCCCAGTTCAAACCCATGTTATTCAAGGGTCAATTGTACAATGCATTTTTATTAAATGCATGTGAGCAGTAAGCACAAAAAAGTCCATTTTGAACAGAGAGGGAGAAAGTCATGTTTGTAATTTGTATTAACATTAGTAACATTCTCCAAGTCAAATCCAGTCTCCTTGCTGTACACTGGAAAGAGAACACCTGACACCCAAAAATTATCCACACACACCTAAAGCATCTTATTTTCCTCACTGTCTCTTGGACAGCAAGATAGTGAGGAGGGCTGGTAGGATATTCCTAGGCACTAGTCTAAGTGCCTTTGTCATCTCTAGAGGATTATAAATCACTTTCTAATTTTAAAGAGAAAGGCCTATTTTTACGGCAGAGCCTTTAAGGAGCCACCTCCCTCTCACAGAAAGAGGCTGTGAATTTGACACTGAGAGGAAGAGAGACTGCCATCTCTGGGCTCCCTGCCCCCTCGTCAGGGTCTCAGTGTAGTTTTTCCAGTCCCTGAACTGGTTGGTTACTGCAAACTGGTTTAAGTACTACCTTGGTGTTTGTTTGTTTTTGTACCTGGGACCAAACTCGGGGACCTTGGCTTGTGAAGCAGGCGGTGGCACCGCTGAGCTAAATCCCCAGCCCCTGCAAACTGCATTTAAAGAGAAGAACAAATCAAAACTTCTTTTTTCAAAGGATATGACGAAATGAAAAATAAATGGAAGAAAAACTTTTCAAGGGAACTCAAAATATCTTATTTTTTCCCTTGTACTTTGCAAAAACTTTAGGTCTGTGTATCTACATGTAATTTATAATTCAAATAATGTTTAATTCACTGAATAGAAAATATGACCAAGAAAAGCACCAATTTTTTTCCTTAAGCCTTGAAAATAATTGTCATTTTCCCCCCCACTCACAATTACAGACTTTAAGGAAATTTTATTTTAATGAAATACTTTTAAATGCTAATGAGTCAAGTTAGAAAATGTGGGTCTTTAGTTCAGCACTAGAGCGGGGTTAAAGAAGGGAGTCCTGCAAGATGTGAGGTTATCAGCCCTCGCCGAGTGGCACTCTTCTGACGAGGAAGCTACATGGGACACTCAAAAAGTACCGTGAATATTTAAACAAAAAATGTACCACAGTAAGACACTGCCATTACTCTTCAAAACATTCCCCCTTTGGGCATTCTGAACACACTTATCACATCATTCTTGCTGCCTTGTGAAACAGCTCTGGAAATTCTCTTTTCTGAGAGTCATTATCTACTGCAGTGTACTAAAATGATCCAAAGCATCTACCTCTCAACATTTTGACTTTGGGGAAGAGCCAGAAGTCACACAGCAGCAGATCAAGAGAATGAGGACACACTATAATGTTTTATGAGCCTGCCCTTCCATTGGATGGCTCTTGGTGCAGGAGACAACTTATTTTTAATCACAAACGCTTCTCAGCCTTTTGGCTAAGATCAAGTGCAGTACCATATTTTCAATCACACCTCATTGACACTCATGAAAGAGGACTTCCAGAACTGTTTCAGAAAGTGGCAAGAAAAATGGGATAAATGTATTTGAAGCAAGGGAAAGTTATCCTGAGGGGGATTAACGGCAATGTGTCTTTTACTATTGTGGATTTTTAAAAAGTTGAAACGCTCACTGTGTGGTCTCATCACCCCACATAAGTGAAGGAGTGAGCAAGAGGATATACTGTACATACCAGTTATACAACGTACAGCCAGGCAGGGATCGAACTTGGGACCTTGCACTTGCCAGGCAGGCGGTAGAACCAAGGCAGATTCTTTTAGTGATGAAGGGAGCTGTTTATGCCCTAGTGTCCAGTCTTCTGTGACATCTATTTATCAGCAAATGATAGTTTTAACTTCTTCAAGGGCTGAAATCTCTACTGGGAAATCTTCACATAGGACACAGAACCTCCATTTTTTCCCGATTCTCAGTTCTAGGTGTTTTAATATACTTCCACTTTATCCTTCATGTTTTCCTTGTCTTTTGAAATAACTCAGTGACAGTGAGTGACTAAGGGAGAGTTTACTAAACTGATCTCAAACAGCAAACTCAGAAACAAGACAGGCCAGGACCCCCGACAAGTACATTCTCTAAGTCTGATGAGAACCGTACCGTTGGAGCTTGCAGTGGTGTGTGGCTGACTCTGGAAGGTTCTAGAGCGGGTACCATACTGCCCTGAGAACTGCTCACTTTGGGGTGGTAGCTCATTCCATGCACGTGAAGAAGGGGGAAGGCTCTGTGCCTCCACAGAGGAGTTCAAACGCTGAGGCCAAATTAGATCCAAATCTTGGGGCTCTTCTTTTAATTTTTCTCCTTCTTTACCAACACGCTGATATATCCTCCCAGTGCTGTCATTCAGTAATCTTCTCATCCCTGTAATTTGTTTTTTAATTTCCATGCTTTCATCTCCTAATGGAAACAAGGCCAAAGTTAGCACTGGAAATTAGCACAGGGAAAAAATAGGCTGCTACACCAAAACAAAAAACAACAACAACAAAAAAACAAAACAAAACAACCGTTCTTGGGAAATAGGCAAGACTGATTCCATAAACTTAAGTAACTCATAAAAATTAAAGGCAGGAAAACTGGCTATGATCTAAAGACAGTGCTCACAAAACCGAGGTGTCTCCTTCTGGCCAAGCTTTCCTCAGTGTGTGTCACCAGGGCACATTCGATGCCCTCCCTGGAAACATTTTCTGAGTAAGAATATTACAAGAAAACTGGCTAAAACCAAAGGCAAGGCTGGAGCCACGTGAAGGTGTAAGGGGCCAAGGCTAGGCAGGTGACTAACACGGACACCCTGGCTGCTCCTGGGTATCCTCGGCAGGCAGGTACCCCAACAGAGAAGGCAGGCTGCTTGCTGGGACATGAAGCTTTGCAAGAATGGCTTCAGGGCAGGTGAGGAGGGCTGTTGACAGCAGATGTCCTCCAGGATGACATCCATGGTGGAGACTTCACATTCATAGGGGACAACATGAGACGGCAAAGCTTACTTCGTTTTGGGGGCACACGAGGAGGACTTTGCTTTTCTAGTAGCCTGACTATCACACCATCCTGAGGGTGTCCCTGGGGTCCCACCACTCTAGGTATCCAGACAGACAAGCACCTGATGTACAGCAATGCAGCCGCACCCCCATCCCACACCCCGCTAGAACCAAGCCCACCACCCAGACCTGCCCAGACCAAATCATCTGCCACCGCCCTGCAGCACCAGCTCTGTAACTGCATGCAAAGGCAACAGACTGCTTCTAACCTCACTTCACCTAAGGCTGACTTTGTACGATCACAGTAAAATGCACATAACATGAGATTCACCACTGCAACCCTTTCAAGCATACAGTCCAGTAAAGTACATTCACACTGTTACACAACCAATCTCCAGCCTAAACAACTTAGTGTCTTACTGAGACCCTGTCTCAAAATAAAAAATAAAAAAGGTCTGGGATTAAAGCTCACTGTGAAAGCCATGGGTTCAATTTCCAATACTGCCAAGACAAATGAATAAAAAGCAAAAACCAAAAACCAAACAAATAAATAGATTATCTTGCCCTTATGGAATTTTTTAAAAAGTAAGGTATCTCTATACTGGACTGCATATACTCCATAAACTTACTTAAAGATGACTATAGAATTGTACAGACAGAAAATATTTCCATCATCTACTGGGAGATATTTCAAACATACTATCTTCTTTCTCTGCAAGGTTGGGGATAGAAGCCAGGGCCTTGCACATGTTAAGCAAGTGCTTTGTAGTGAGCTACCCAGCCTATAGTGTCTTCTTAAACTACAACTGCCAGCATCCTCGAAGAGATTAAAAGACACATTTTTTTCCCCTCTAACCTAGGGATAAAGTCCAGGTATCTCTGCCCATTCATGAAGTCAGTTTACTAAATGCTTCAAATTTAAACTATGAGAAAAAGAAAAGGAAAAAGAGAAATGTCTATTAAGAAAAACAGCTTTTGCAAATAAAATATAACAATGTTTCAATGGCATTTATATAAACTAGATTTCTCAGAAGAACTAGTAGCTGTGTAATAACTTTAGATATTTACTTTATCGATATATGTGTCACATTAGCAGATATTGTGTAAGGAAAATTTACACATTATTTTGAAAAAGTCCCCTCAATTTTGGGGAAGTAAGCACCACAGATGGACCCAAGGGCTTTGTTCATGCTAAGTAACACTCTACCACTGAGCTACACTCCAACACCTATAACTTTTAAAAATGTTAATAAAAATACTCATTCTTTAACAGTGAACACTGGTGAATACAGAAAAAAAGATTTTCAAAGTTACAATACTGTCATATGTTAGCATATGCTTTAGAGAAAAACATTTGAATGTGTAATAAAACTATTTCCACTTCAAACACCAGTGAAGATTATAGTAGAGAAACAATAAATCATATTCCAGATTTTATGAGAATAAATGAGCGAGTGCCATTTAAGTGACAGGAAGTCAGCAACATCTAAACATCCTAACCATGTCTGGGAGCAGAGCGTGTCTGGAGGATTCCAGAAGACGCACACGGTCCCACCACACAACCTCCCAGTCAGCACGGCACCATCAGCAGAAGCAGCAGCTCTCCTGCACAGTCACCCTCCACCTTCTGAGCAGGCCCAGCACGGTGCACGCAGGCTGCACACAGACTGCTCTTCACTGGCAGGGCTGCTGGCCACTCCCTCGTACCAGGACCCCTGGAAGAGCTGCCCTCAGGAGCCAGGCCTCACAGTGCTGACTCGCTTCACCTGGACCCTGCCATCACAGGACAGGGGATGCATCTGGTGTCCAGTTCCCACCCCTGCTCTGAGGACAGAATTAACTCTGACAGTGCTACCACCTGGGAGACAAAAAGGTCCCAAGGATCCTGGAACCTTCCAAGGGCAACTCTGCTTGTTCATAACTTTAGTTTTGGAGTTCTAAAACTTATTCCCATGAAAATTAAAAGACTGAAAATACAACTTGAATTTTGCATGATTTTTATATTTTCACACTGACAACCAGAATCCTAAGCTGCAGGTGGAGATGAAAGAAGGTGACAGGCATCAAGCAAGACTGTGGTGGTTGGCTGCCAGCACAATGTGAAAAAGATGTCTTCTAGAGGCAAAAAAAAAAAAAAAAAAAAAA